AGGGGGCGGCGGAGGCGGCGGGGCAGCTAACCCCGCCGGAGGGGACGCGGCTGTGGCTGGCGACGAGGAGCGGAAAGTCGGGCTGGCGCCAGGAGATGTGGAGCAAGTCACCTTGGCGCTAGGGGCCGGGGCCGACAAAGACGGGACCCTGCTGCTGGAGGGCGGTGGCCGCGAAGAGGGGCAGCGGAGGACCCCGCAGGGCATCGGGCTCCTGGCCAAGACCCCCCTGAGCCGCCCAGTCAAGAGGAACAACGCCAAGTACAGGCGCATCCAAACTTTGATCTACGACGCCCTGGAGAGACCGCGGGGCTGGGCGCTGCTCTACCACGCGCTCGTGTGAGTACCCAACCGCTCGAGGCGCCCCTTGGCGGTTGTGCACCTTGGGGTTCGGGGCCAGGGCTGGAGCTGAGGAAGTGTTTGTGGTTTGGCCACTCAGAAGCGCTCTCTGGCTTGAATTGGGGGTAGGCGCGGGGCACCAGCAGGGCTTTAGCCATGGTTCTCTGCTGTGTGACTGAGAGCAGCTCCTTGGACACGAGGGTTTAAATGAACCAAACGTGCTTCCCGAGCTGACTTGGAGATTTGGACTGGCGAGTGCGCGCGGATGCGCGTTTGTTGGACCTTCTGGGATGCTGACACGGAAGCTTAAAAGAATTAGATGATTTTTCTAATGAATGTAGCAGTTGAGTAGGACAAAAATGGTTCTATAAGCATCATTTCTTCTTAGGGGTGATTAGCTTGCTTCTCTTGTGATCGTCACTCAATTTAGATGACATATCCCAGAGTTGAGGACTGTAGTGTGCACACTGCCCATAGTGGTGTGTGTGTGTATGTGTGTACGTGCGTGTTTCATGAGTGTGCTGCCCTTCCTAGGGCTCAATGCTGATGTCAAAAAGAACTCGGTTTTGCTCTAACTGGGGGCTTGAACAGGCCAAAATGCATGTCTTTGTGGGTTCTGTTAGGAAAAGGAATAGAATAGGAGAGGGGAGGGATTTCCAACCTTAGTCCAAGGGGTTGAGGTTTAGCAGAGTCAGAGGTGGGGTGAGGCTATTTAAGGCTGGAACATCCCTATGGTTTCGGGGTTCAACATCCCATAGTTTAGGTTCTGCTGTCTGCGTAGCTTCAACTGTTGCCCACTTATCAGCTTGGCTGGACCACTGCATTGGGCACCTGAGAGTCCTGGTTGCAAGTTTGTCCCCAGGGACTCCTCTAGAAATAATCTCCATGCTAGCCAGGAGGGAAATGCCAGGCCACAAGGAAAATGGAACTCTAGATGTACCGATTGGGGCTGGAAAATACACCTGCATTTAAGGAGGAAGAGAGGCTCCTAGCTGAGGGATTCCCCAACCTGAATTCTGACTGTCAGAACACCTGGGATGTGGCAGGGCGCTTTTTGCTACCCTAGCTTTGGCTTAGGAGCTGTATGGCTGTCAGGGTTTAGACAGGAAATTGGCTATGACCTTGACCCTGGACCCTTCCTATTTTAGGCAGTCGGTTTCCTTCCAGTTGATCCTTGACTGACAAAGAGGGGAAGAGGTTGGGAAATGTCTTGTTTGCTAAGTACCCATCTCTCTTTTATGGTTGGAAGCGCTTTCCCTGATTTGGCCACCAGGTGGGGGCGTCCACACAGGGCCTCAGATTTGTGCAACAGGTTTCTCCCAGGTTACAAAAGCCCTGAAAAGACCGCATCCCTGGAAGCTCAGGAAGCAGCTGGAAGAAGGATGAAGCCCTTTGCCAGGGACTTGGATTCGGGTTGGCCAAGCCTTTGATCCCCGTGTATCTGCAGGTGTTGGGAAGTGTCTGACCCAAAGCTTAACCTTCGTTGTTCTTTCATGGTGAAATTAGATTAAACTTGTATTGGTCCCTTGGTCTCTAGCATCTGTGTTCAAATAGAAGTGAAATAAGTGATAGAGTATATGTAGTTTTGAAAGGCTGCACACATCTGAGTGCAGCTCCTTTGTCCTTTTGCATAAAGATGTGTTCTGTGTGTTTATGATGGCTTTGGAACCTGGGGTTCCATTGAAGCTTGCAGTTCCTTCTTTCTTCTCCTCCCACCTTTTCCAGTTGTGGGCACCTGCAGCCTTGCCTTGCCCAATTTTCAGAGACACTAGTTAAAGCCTACGTAGCTACAATGTTATTTTGTTACAGTGTTACTACTGTAAAATTACTTATCTCTGAGAAACAGGTTTTTAAGTGCCCAGCCTATAGTCTCAGATCCCAATTCTGACTCCAGGGATCTTTTCCTGGGTATCACTGGGCGCTCACTGCCCATTGGTAACACAGGATTGTTGGTAATCTGTTTTTCTAGCTTACGTAGGAAATCCTAATAGGATCTGTTCAGAACCTAATAGAATCTGATAGGAGGCACAGTGTTAGGAAAAGGTGAGGTGGGTTGGGTTGGTGCTGGGATTTGTGGCTTCTGATGTGGATTCTGATGCTTTAAAGGAAAACTCCTCTTGGGCTGCATTTGAGCTCCTATTACTCAGGCAAGCTTACTAAATGGATGCATTTTACATCCATCCTCAAGCTCAGGAGGAGCCCGGGCAAGGGAACACAGCTGAATCTTCATTGATGATTCAGGATTTTGCAAGGGCTTAAAATTCAGACATTAAAGTGTCCATTATTCTGTGCAAGCCTGTGGCTAATGGCAGAAGGGGACCAAGAAATTAAGCTGACCATAAGCTCACAGTCTAGTGTGTTCTCTTTCTTATGTAAGTTAACCAGGCCCATGAAGTGAGTATCTTTCTCCCCTCTGTCCTAAAGATAAAATACAGGAAATGTATAAATCAAGCACCTCTTCCAACTTGCTTCCTATGCCTTTCCTAGCTGTTTACCTTCACAGTGGGCCAGAACTGGTTTCACCACTCCCAGAAACCTTTTCCCAGACTCCCATCTGGCTGGACTCAAGTTACCCCTATGTCTTCCCCAGCTGTGGAATTTTGTGTACTGCTTTGAGTTGATGTGCTTGTATGTTTGCCCTAAGGAGCCAAGAGCTACTTGAGAGTGTTGGGAGGGGGGATGTATTGTTCTTTTTTAGCATCCTCAATCCCCAGGAGGCTGGAGAACCCATGGTAGCTACTAAGTAAGCATTTGCTGTGTGGATGCGTAGCAGAATTCTCTCAGGATTCTAGTTAATCAAGGCTTTGCTGTAACAGCTTAACTGTTATAACAGCGACAGCAGTAAGCCGCTGAAGTCAGCATCACAGGCTTTTAATGAGACTAGTCCTTGGGAACGTTGGGCTTTGGTAGGGGTGGACAAGGTTGGACTCTTGCTTGGCTTTAGGAAAAGCCAATTGCAGTCCTGTCTTGGGCTAACTTTGATATTTTATGAAAACATTCTGAGTCTTGAGTTTGCAAATATGACTTTGCAGGAGATAAGTAGGAATAACCTGGAAGCTAAGGATGGTGGTACAGCCCCAGTGAAGAACGGTTTCCAAGCTTATGCTAGCATTTATGAATATAATAAGTCAACGTTAGGGTCTCTGTATTCAGTTGATTTTGTCTAGGAGTCTACTTTGAAGTCATACGTACTTGACACTGTCGTTGTCCTGCGCTGTAAGTAGAGAGATGCTGGCCTCATCTTGGCATTGGTGCTGCCTTGGCACTCTGAAGGCATACTGTTGCCCTGGCCATGTCTCTGCAGCCAGCTGGGTATTGTCCCTTGCCACCTGTTAGCAAACCCAAAGGGAAGGATCTGGAGAAACACCTACTGCTGCTTTCTAAGGGAGCCTAGCTTCAGGCATCTGGCAGGCAAGGCTAGTTGCCTCGATCCATTGACTCAGCCTGGTTGGTGGCCTTAGCCTGGAGAGTTCACCTGGGGCACGGGTTGAGAAGCAAAGCAAAACAAAATAAACAAATAAAAAACTACCTGCACATGTAATTATTGGCATTTGACAAGTATTTTCTCTTTTGTGTCTCCTCTTAATCATGTTTCATCTACGGTGTGAACATGCCACCATTCTCAGAATCAGATTCTGTGCTATGATGGCAGAAATGCGATGCAAAGGGCACAGCAGCTTGGTGCACTTGTTTGCTTGTTTCAAGGATGCTTAAACCGAACCCGCCACACATGCCAGGTCTTGTGCCTGTTGGTGGAGATGAGTGGCAGGATTTCGTCTTTGGAGACAGAGGCTCAAAATGCCATAGTTTGGGCAGTTTCTACAGAAAGGAACATGATTCTCAGAATTCTAGAGGCTGGGGTTTCTAGACCCCCATGGTGACAGTTTCCTAGCCAGGTGAAGATTTTGTCTTTGCTTCCAAGATGATGTCTTGAAGCTATGGAGAAACACCATGCCCTCACTGGCAACAACTGAAGGACCAAACACACGAAGTTTCTCTTTAAGGGTATGTATGTCTCTTACTGACAAGGCGGCGGTGTAGGGGGAACTTTTATGACATCATTTCTAGAGGTTCCCACCTCTTAATACCATCATATGGACCATGAAGTTTTAACACCAGACCTGCAGGGCATAACATCACAAATCTGTAGCCTTGTGGAATGGGACTTCTCATTCAGTCACAGAAGGGTTTTGAAGATTTTGCAATGTTTTCTTCAGAGAACAAATTGCCTGATGAGCCAAGAACACAGTTGATTCTAGATGTAATTTGTGGATAATGAATAATTCCTTATGCAGCTAATTTACAGAGCACCCCATGCATAAGCTCTGCTGGTGACTTCCTCTTGCAAGACCTCAGGACTGGTGACTTTTCTTTTCCTTTTTTCTCTTCCTGTATCAAGAGGCAAATTAAATCATCCGAAATCCGTAAGAGTACAGCCATATTTTAAGGTAGCTAACTTGGCGTTTAATACCAGCACATCGTCATTTCGTTTTTGTAGTTTGCAATATCACCATCTGCTCAGGGTCAGGGTAACCCACTTATTGGTTTAGTTACCAAGACGCTAAGAACAGGTACTCATCACAGATGCTCCAGATCTGGGTTTTTGGAGCCAGAGTTGTGCCCGAGGAGCTGACAAGCCGAGAGCTTCTTTGTCAACTTGTCACTGGGATTTAAGCTCATTTCTTTATGTTGTCTTCTTGGACATGTGGGGTGAAATCTTACATAACAAAACTTAGCATCCTGAGCTCTGTCCTAATGGGAAGCCACAGATCCAATCATGCATCTCTGTCCCTTTTCCTCAAACCCCAGTCTCCAGTTTGCTCTTAATTTCATCCTACATGGATCAGTTACAGGGGCTTTTCCTCTCGATGATGCCAGTTAAATTAGCTGTCTAGTCAAACAAGTAAACAACAGAGCTGACTTCCCTCCATGGACTCTAAGAAGTAAGATGAAGCAAACATTTTCTTCCCAGAGTTGCTTTGGGTCCGTGTTTTGTCATA